AATAATAATAATAATAATAATAATAATAATAATTGCTCAGCAGCATGGCACAAATAAGAATGCCAGCCAATGGGGAAGGCAGGAAGTGGTTTCTCCCAATGGGAAAGTGTCAGAGAAGCTGAGCAACCCTTGGAGCTTTCCCATTGGGCAGAATTGCTTCTAGCCTTCCCCATTGGCTGGCATTGTTATTTGCACTGCCCTGCTGGGCTGAGCTGGGGAGCCACATGTAGGAAGTGTTCACCTGGGGTAGCATGGTGACTGCAGGTCCGAAAAGGAGACAGCAAAGGCAGCAAGGCCCTTCTGCTTCAGCAAGGCTGGGCGCAAAAAGTGAAAGTTCGGTGCAGGGAACTGGGAGAGAAGGCAGCTGGATGAATAAATGCTTGCTGGGGCAGCTGGGGCTTCTAGAGGTGGCTGAAGCTTCATGCTGTGCTGCAGCTCAGGGGCTTCTTGCAACCCCAGAGCTGCAGCGCACCAAGAAGCCCCTGACCTACAGTGAAACAAGCAGTCCCAGATCCGTGCAGTTCTGGGGCTGCTTGTTGCCCTGCAAGGCAGGGTTCAGGGCGGCCCAAAGTGCAGAGATGGGGGTTGAGTTAGGCGGATGAGGGGAGTTGAAGCAGTCCCTTACCTTACTGAAACTGGGAGGAACCAAGCTCGAAATGGCTTGGGGTGGGATGGGTTGGGGTGGGGTGGATCTTCAGCTAACGACCAGTGGAATTCACTTAGTGGCAGCAACAGGGAGTGCCAGATTGCCATCGCTAAGCAATGTAGTCACATGACATCTCACTTTACGATCACATTGCTTAACAATGGAAATTCTGATCCAATTGTTGTAAATCGAGGACTACCTGTATAAAGTGATACAGTAACTGTGTATCTTTAAAGACTGCTAAAATATTGCATGTGTATATAGATAACATTTGTTTCTCCGTTCTGTTTTACTCAGTTTTCCTTTTCCCTTTAATAAGTCAGCTTTTTCTGTTGGCTCAAAATTTCCAAAGATTTCTTATTTGTAACTGGGATTAAAATTTGTGATTATGTTCAGTGTTTGATTGTAGGAATTTAATACATATGAATATGACAGAGCCATTAACTTGGTTTCCTATGTTTCTGAGAACAAGATTTTTTTTAATGAAAGAGAAATTGAAAATGTGGGCATTCGTTTTTTAAAAATCCAATTAAATTTGAAAGAATATGAATGTTTATCTCTTTGGGTTTTTAAGTCTTTTTATCCACCTTTGGGGCATACATCTACCAAGACACTTATGGAAGTTCTTTCCAAAACTCAGAGAAAGAATGTGTCACTAGCTTGAGAAACACCTCAGTGATCATCTTCTATTTTCATGGACTAACATTCCTGTTCTTTGGCCTCTCAACTTCTGCTCTGCCATTGAGAAAAGGTAGCAAAACTGACATACATTTTATAAGAACCAATGTTTAGTGTTCTGACCTTTGCTACTATAATGGCAGACAGAATTTCTTATTCTATCCAGTGGGATATTTCTCTTTTTTATCAGTGATAAAAGAGAACAGCCTCCCCACCAGCTCATGCAGGAGCTCTGTATAAGAAATTGGGAAAGACTCCACCTTGGGAATCTGGGAAGTCAGTTACATTCTAATGGAGGAAAATAATCCGTGTGCTAAGATTTCTTTGACCTTATCCTATCCTCTTTTGGTAAAGCAACTATGGAAGAATCTTGTTTTCTGTGGAGGTAGAGCAACCAAGAACTTGACAACTACACAGATCATTCTCCCTTGTGATAAATTTCCCTTCCCCGGAATGATTGTTAAAAATGTGATTTGAAGGTGGAGATGGTTGATCTGCAATTACATTGACTGATGCTGTGATTTTATTTATTCATTCATGTATTTTGTGATGATGCCTAGCAGACAGGCAGTTTACCACAGCAATGCTGGTTCCTATTCTGTATACATCTAGTCCAATTCTGAAGGAAACTTTTAAAGACTTTATGCAGCCTTTAGTGAGAGTACAACTCACGATGGGATGCAGTTCTCCCAGAAAAGAGTTATCTTTGTTTACGTGCAGCAGCAACACTTGTGAGTGGGTGGACAAATTCTGGTCCTGCTCTGTCTGTGTTCATTCAGCAAATCTGTGTAAAACAGGATGCCCAGGAATCTGTAATGAACCAACTTGAAATCTGCCCCACACTCTTTGTAGCCTTAATTATCTTCCTTACAAATTCTACATTAGCTGTCACAAAATGATAACTCAGACAATTCTGATTACTTACTAGGTGAGTTAGTGTTTTACCTTTCCTCCTATCAAAAAAAGGAAGAAGCAGCTTTTCGGAAAACTGATCAGTCTGGTACAAGTGATTAAGGAAACAGCCACGTGAGCCCAGAAAATATAAATGGGATGTTATGTAGATGACTGGATCTTTGAGAAAATCTTTTGAATAAGCTCATACATCTGCAGTTTAATTTTATCCTGATCCTAAATACAAATATTTCTTAATGGCTTTTGGTGAAACCAGCCTTGTAAACAAGATAAATGAAGGTCATTTCATTTCTGGTGATTCAGCTGCTACAGTTTAAATAACTGAGCCTGCAGTTTTATGGCCTGTAATGATGAACTTTGAGTAGATGTAAAAATAATGTGCTACAAGTTCAGAGATCTGAGGTCACGCTACAGATCCTGCTTATTTAAGGAACATCATACTATTCTTACCCTTTAGTGATATAGGGAAGAGTAAGCTTCAGTTAACATTATATAATGTCATTTGCATCAAATGATGCAGTCTGATAACTAAATACCCTCCCAAATACAAAGCAAACATCTCAGGAGTGCTGCATCCCTAATGCTTTTAAGCATACAACCATTTTAATAAAGCTTCACAGTAAATATTTGGGCACGTTGTGAATGGCTGCTGAAAATAAGGTAACATTACTTTCGGAGTTCTCTCCAGTTCATTTCCTTCTGTCCTTGCTGTTTAAAATCTCCCATTCCCTTCATTATCATTCTGATGGACTACAGTCTATGGAAGCTTTTGTCATATATGTTTTTTAAGGAGTCTAGAGCTCTTTATTTTTGCTGCAACAGGCTATTCCTTTGGAAAGTTTTACTTCCTGATCCACTTAATTAAGCTTTTTAAATATGTATTTACTACTGTTCCACCACTTTACTGTTCATTTGTGTGTGACATGTAAACTTTCTGCTGATAATTTATTCTGAATGATGCAGTTATATTTCCAACCTACTCTGCTAACATAAAGCATACCCATTTTTCTTCTAAAAAATAAGAACTCTTTGCTTATGACTAATGGAAAAATCACATACCTTCCTCTATAATGAACTATGAGCCATATTCCTATGATATAAATTAGGAATGTTTAAAATTGATGCTTGGCTGGCTTAATTTCATATTAAACTTGATTCATATTCAAGTTTAATGTCACTTAGGATAATTCTTGCTACATCATGTTTTTACCAGAACAAATGAAAGATACTAGTTATCCAGAAATTGTGTTCCATCAATCCAAATCTGATGTATGGCATCCAGGCACAAAAAGCATTCAGTCCCTAAAATTTTAGGGATGAATGGTAGCACTGTTTTTCTTTGTGTTGTCTTAATAGTGCTGTCAACAATAGAAAATAACCTGTGTATGAGGAGTGCAACGCCTGCTCTCTGTTGTCTTTTTCAAAGTTTATATTCTGCTCCAGGCTCTTTAAGGTGCAGAAGATGAATGTGCCTTTGGCATTTTTGTTCCTATTCACCATGGTTATAGCTTAAAAAATTTCTGCCCCTCCCTGCCCAACTATTTATAACTCATAAATTGGATTTCCACAAATATTTGGCTTGACTTGATACCTTCCTATTTTGGGAAATGTTGACTTCTATAATCATACTTACCAGCAGTCCACCTTACAACATTCTTGGTAATATTAGAAAATGATATTCTCATCATTTTAGCAACTGGGTTTTCTAATAATACATTGTAATATATTATACATAAAATAATGTGTATAATATATATTATAACAGTATATACATACTATGGGAAGAGAACATCAATCCATTATACTGGTTCTAGAAAAGTTTTGTTCAGCAATGAAGAGGATTAACAAAGCTGAAATAAAACATACAAAATATGAGAAGATGATGACTGTTAATTGAATGTTGAGCTATTTTTTAAAAAGTTACTGAGAAACTTTGACCAGGTATGCCAAATACTTCTCTTGTTTGCAGTTCATGAACATTTTACATCTATTCCTCCTCCTACCTTATAAGACTAAATAAATGGGAAGGCTAATTTCTGCAAATAATAATTGGCTAAACACCATCTTTGAGGTAGTCTGTCCAAAGAGCGTATTCAAGACCAAATACTGAATGTAGTAAAGGAGTAAATAGTATTCCAATTCCAGTAATTAATTTCATATGGCTTCAGTATATCCTTTTTTACTACTGTGTATCCCTTTTTACTACTTTAGCTAAAGGTCTGTTGCTTAAGATAGGATCACCAGGTTCCTCCCTAACCCTTACCATGCAGCCTCATAATTTGGGCAATTACAGTATTTTGCTTCAGAAAGTAGGTCTGTGTCATCACTTCAAAGAATTCTGGTAGAGTCTGAGAAAGTAAACTTGACTGTCTTGAAGGAGCAGGTTTCTTTGATGGTTCTGAATTAGGATGGAGCCATTATTAACTAATAAATTACTTCAAAGAAACTACTTAGATTTCAAATGACACTAGATTAAATTCAGTATTCATGTTTTTCTTTTAAATGTGTGATGATTTTCTGGTGTTATGGTATCATAAGGTCATCTGGACTTAAATTTATGCAACTAAAGGAAAGTGTATTTGTAAACCACTCTGAGATGTGTTTTTGCTCTGAGTGCTTGTGCTGGACTGGTTCCTCACAGACAGACATAGCATTCACAAAAGAGCAAGTCTGACGTAGTGGTCAAAGGCACTGGATTAGAAGCTGGGAGTCTGCTGGTTCTTAGGCTTGAAAGCCAGCTGGGTGACTTTGCCAATCATTCTCTCTTAGCCTTAGGAAGAAGATACTGGCAAGCCATTTTTGAAAATGTTATCAAGAAAACTGCATGGACTTGTTTCTGCAGTCATTAAGAATCAGGGTTGTCAAGATGGACCATAGCAACAACTACAAGCATTCACAAGCTTTTCTATGGATTCGTACATGTAGCAATAGCTTTTCAAGACTATAATCTTTTTCTGGTGAGATGTCTCAGGAAGATATTCCTTTTCCTAGATTTTTGAGGAGGGAAAGATGAGAAAACAGCACACTATGAATAATACTGACCTTGAAGTAGAAGTGAAGGGCTGATAATAGCAATAATAGGATCTTTAGAAATATCTAAACTCGAATTGTTAAGATCCAAATGCATTGTCAGTAAACTTTAAATGATTTGTCTATTTTCTTTATCTTCAGTTTCAGAGTTCCCAGAAGTGACCTGTACTTTTCTGAGTAACACTGCAGTTTTAACATGTTCTGTATGGTTTCCTTGGCAGCAAAGAACCAAATTCTGGAAATGGTCTTTTCTATCAAATCAGACTCTCCAAGCTCTTACAGGGCCTGTACCTGTTACTGCTGTGAATAACACAGTTCTCTTTTTGAACTGTAACAAATGTCATATTTAAAAAATGAAATGTCTAATTCTATAGAAAGGCAGGGAGTCTGAACATGCAACTGTATTGCAGTTTTCTACATATTGTAGATTCCTTCTTTTTCATATTACTTTTACACACAGGTGTTTTTGTTGGTGTTTTCATTTTTTTTTTTAAACTGCTTTGAGTTAGAAGTAGTAGTGGATTTCAGGGGAGGGCAATATTAAAGTAAAAGAATGATGAAAAGAATGCAGATACTCTAATAATTCTGGAGTCTCCATGTAGATCACTTCTAATGTTATGGTTCTCTTTGTCTTTCCACAGTTACCTTTCCAAATTTGAGGACTGTTCTCTCCTATTTTGGAGGATTTGCCTTGCTGCCTTAAACCATGGACATCACTGGATTTCTGAAGTCTCAATTCATTTGCCACCTTCTTATCTGTTACATATTTATAGTGTCGGGACTGATCATCAACCTCATTCAACTCTTCACGCTTATTCTCTGGCCATTCAACAAGCAACTTTTCAGAAAAGTTAACTGCAAGCTGGCTTATTGCATTTCAAGCCGTAAGATGCTTTTATACTCATACTTTTGTTTTATCAAAGAGTGTTATTTAGGGCAGGTAGATTTTAGATGTGAAAAGAAAAAAAAAAGATGTTGAACTAAAATACTTTCAGAGAGCCATTCCTGGAAGAACATATATTAAAAAGGAACTTTTTTTCATTTTTTCTTTTGCAAGTTCTCTCTTTCATTGGATATATACTTCATATACTAATGTGAGTTCAGCTATGCTAAAGTTCATTATTGAGAAAAATGACTAAAGAGCAGCTACACTATGCTTAAAGGGAGATGGTGTAGTTGCAGAGTAGTATGGATACTGCAGAACTTTTCTGAGGAAGTGTCTTTCATGGAGAGGGACCTCCAAATCCATGTCTTTTTTAAAAAAAATCAAGAATAGTCAACACTACAAAGTGCAGTCAAGTTTATTTTATTGCTTCTTTGGCATTACAGGAGTGCATTTACTCAAGAATTTTTGTTGCAGGGTTTCTCCTGATCTGCACCACACTCACTGTTGCTTGACTTTGTTATGGCTTTTCCCTGATACCTTAGCTCAATGTCTTTTTTCTTTCTTCCTAGCATTTTTCCCGCACCTGCAGGGTCCGCTCGTTTCACAACCCCTTAATCCTTCTAGCAAGCAGCAATATGTCCCCAGAACTTCCCTTATTATCCATCAGGCTTACTGCTTTACCCTTCTGGAAGGGAGGGAGGGAGGGAGGGAGGGAGGTGCGTGCATGCAACCAATGATGGCTCTACAATCATATTTATTTGTAGCAATGTTTTTGGGATTCACAAAAGTCCCATTAGAATGGTAGAGAGCATCCTCAGTTTGCCTTTGTGGCAGCTATTTTGTGTATAGGTAAGCTGTTATTCCATGGTGCCATTTTGAGAATATACCCACCACGTGTTCTCAAATTTCTAAATGTGTCTCCACCCCCAAAGTGATTGCCTACCCTTGCTATTCTGTCAAAAATGATTGCTCTTCCGCTGATAATTCATCTCCTCTACTTGCTTGATCAGGATGAGTAGAATTAGTGTTGAATTTCATTAGTGGCATGGCTACCACTCAGTTGTCTCCATTTCTTCTCTTCTTTGAGTATAGGGAGCCTGCAGTCCTTGAATTATAGATAAGTAAAATACATTCTTCTTAATCCATGTCATCTAATTTCCTCCATAAACATTGGTTTCAGTTGGCCAAAGTATTATTTCCTGTCTTCCCACTTCTTTTTCTTATTGCTTACATATATTGTCATTATTTGTATCCTGCTCTCAGGATATAAATCCTCCCAAAGCTGCTTAGAAGCAGTATAAATGATAGTAAATACAGTAAATATTATTTAAGAACATCCAACAAACTTGTAAGTTCCTTTATTGTCTTGGTGTAATTGCCCTGTATAATGGGCAGCCTGCCTTGCTCCTCCTGTTTTAGAAACTCTGGCTTCCTTTTCATCTGATTTTCTCCGTTGCAAAGAAAAAAAATGCTTATAAAATTAGGAATTAAATATTACAGTAGATCTGTGACATGGTACTGATT